GTTACTGCAACAAGAAAATGATGCCTTCCAAAAGCAGCAGATAACTTTGAAAATCAATCCTTCAAATCAATTCATATGCTTGACAACTTTTGTGTTTTCTCAAATTATAGATGAGAAAATCAAATACTCTCCTTAAAGACTAGTTAGAAAAATCAGTTAAACTAGATTAAAGTTAAAAACTGTATATAATAAAACCTCAAACACTGCATATACGAAACTAAAAGTTCTCTAAAAACTTAAAGAAAAGGTTCCACCACTCCCACTCCCTAAAAGACAGCTAAGAATGTATCAATATTACTCATCAAGGCACCTGAATCAGAAAATAAAATTTACTTGAAAAGAGAAATGCAGTATCTACCCCTATAAGCTCACATGACTAAAACACACCAGAATTTAACATCAAAATTTTAATGAAGAACCTCAGTTTCAAAGTCTGCTCATCTAATCTACAAGTACAGGCGCCAGTAACAATCATACAAAAGTATGGACCTTAGGAGAAAAATAAGTGTTTAATTTTACTGCCATATTTTACGTAAAATAAGGGGCATAGTGAATAAAAGGTTTCCTAAAAGCCAGGTGCTCCTGACCTATATGTCAGGCAACCTTTATGGACTTTAAACACGGAAGCATCTATTACTCAATGGAAAGACCTAAGCAATAAATGAATAAAATAATGCTCCTCTGGAGACCAATGGAGAGAACTTCAGCTAAAAGGAAGACAGTGCTTAAAATACAACTCTATATTAATTTACAGTCCAAAGGCAAACTCACCATCTGATGCTGGGATCCAAACATAGTGTTACAGGGCACACGGCACAAGCAGGGGAAGGGCAAGCCAAGCTGCAAGGAGAAATGTGGCATTTTTCAGTAAGGAGCTTTCGTACCATTCACTATCCCCCCCACCCCTGCCCCAAAGATTATGGTCCTGAGATGAGTCATAATTGTCCTTTTAAAAAATGTCTCTCTTAAGAAAATGTTTTGAAAAGGATGATAGCAACATATGTACAAATGTGCTTGACACAATGGATGCATGGCTTGTTGTAAGAGCTGCAAGAGCCCCCAAAAAAATGATTAAAAAAAAAAAATCTCTCTTTAGGAGTTCTTAATGTTATAACTAGATGCTAAAGAACATCAAGAATGCAAATAAATTAATTAAATAGATGAACTCTCAAAGCTGAGCTGACTTATAAGGGAACATAGACAATATAATTATTTTTAAATTAGTCAAGTAACTTTGGTTTATTCTGGAATATAAAGACCTTGCCCAGCAAAAAAGCTACTGAGACCTGAACATATTTTGAGATAGTTTAGGATTCTTCTTCCAATCACTACTGGTAAATAATACAAACTACATGAACTGAAAGGGAACACTGATGGTGTAGAGGGTTATGCACTGGGTTACTAACCACAAAGTTAGTAGTTTGAAACCATCAGTTTCTCTAAGGGAGAAAGATGAGGCTCCCATAAAGCATTCCAATCTTGGAAACCCAGAGGCAGTTCTGCCTGTCCTACCAAGTTCCTATGAATCAAAATTGATTTGATGAGAGTGAGTTTGAAAATTACTGAAGGAACTATCTTATTTTGGGTTCACTCATCCCTAAAAAGCAATAATATAGACTAGGAGATGGCTAATTCTTGAAAAGTGAAACCAATGTAATGAATGGAAATGGCTATTATTATGTCAATTTTTTAAATCTTCATTTTTAGCATCCAACTGCTTGAGTACTTTATAATTTTAGGATTTTTTTTAAGTTGCAGCATATTATTCTATATAACTAAAAAGTGGTAGCATTTATGGCAAAGAATTAAATGAGAATTTTAGTAACACTTTTTCTGAAGGAAATTTTCTATAATTAGGAAATGGTATCCTGGTAAAACAAACAAAAATAAACCAATATAAAAATTAAAAATTAAAATATTCCTTGACCACAAGTCACCAATCCACTAATGGAAACATTCAGTATATAACCTTCCAAACATTTCTTAGGTGTAAATATGTCCTAAAGACATAGATATATATCTTGCAAGGTATAGAAGACATATATATAAACATAATTTTTAAAACATGAATATAAGGAAGTATTCATGCTGTCAGGTAAGACCAAAGGCTCAAAATTCATCTACAACTCTGTGAGAAAAAGATGAGTCTATCTGCTCCCACAAAGATTAAAAAATTAAAACAAGAATATGATGCTATTTAGGAGGAAGTTTCAAAAAGTTTGTAGAAATTGGAATTAAAACACTGTTCCGTCACCTGCCTTTCTCCTTTAACATATGACGCTCACACCCACAGCAGCTAGCGAAACGGGCTACCCCCTTGAAGAGGTTTCAGAGGAGAATAAAACACTCATGGTCTTTGAAAACGGTCACTTCATCGCACATTACCTGATTACAAAGGTATTGGCCCAGGCCAGGTCTAGCAGCAGCACTGAGATAGATAACAGGTGTTTTGTTATATAGCACATTGAATCCATCCACTACAAAGTCTTCATAGCGAGAATGAATGGCAAGCCTACAGATCTTTGTGAGTCCCTCTCTTTCTTCTTCATGGAAATAAGCACAGCCATTTTCATACCTGTAAGTATGAGTATATGAATATAAGTATGTTCTCATTTCTTGTGAATCCAGAGTTTGTATCCAACTCTTACAAAACTAAAAGTAGTTCTCTTCTCAAACTAGAACTTCCCACCTGAGTTAGCAAAGGGGAATAGAAACATGAGGCATTCTCACTTGTTTGAAAACTGATTATAGTGGCCAACAATGGACAACACAGGCCTTCTTATGAATATTTAATCTGCTGTAATTCCTTAGTTATAATGTCAACATTATGGTAACAAAAAACAAAATTCAATTTCATAGCACATTCTCTTCTTTATGACAGTGCTTCTTTTCTACGAACATATAAGTTAATAACTTATTTTTAAAACATTTGAATTGAGACCATTATTTGGCTTTTGAAAATCTGTATCAATTGCTGTTGTGAGGTGTCAGAGTTAGTTCCAATGTATAGTGAGGGACCTGATGCACAGCAGAACACAACACTGTCTGGTCCTATGCTACCTCGTCATTTTTGCTGTTTGAGTGCACTGTGTCAATTCATCTTACTGAAGGTCTCCCTCTTACTGACCCTCTTCTACACCCAAGAGCACTAGTGAAATACAGTGAAGCACTCAGCTATAAACCAAAAGTTCAGCAGTTCAAATTCACCAGCTGTTCTGTGGGAGAGAGATGTGGTAAACTGCTTTTAGAGTAACTTCAGTGTTAGAAACCCTATGGGGAAGTTCTGTCCTTTCCTACAAGGTTGCTATAAATCCAAATCAGCTCAATGACAATAGTTTTTTGTTTTCTACTTTACAAAGCATGATATACCAATGAGAAACTCTAAAAATAAGTAACTGTTTACATTACAATGCATTTATGTTCTCAGCTCCTTACATTTATTCAATCATTTAATCATCACAACAATTTCCTCCATTAATAGATGTGGACACAGAGGTATGGAGAGGTTAAACAATCCTTTAAAGAGGCCAGATTTGAGCCCAGGTAGCATGCATGGTCCCAGAAAAAAAAATTCTCCCATAGTCTATACCTGGCTCATATTTTTACCTGAAAATTCTGCATAGCCATAAGGTAGTATCCGAAAGTATCCTAGTTGTAAGTTTTCTCAGTTTCTCTTTGTCCAGAGTAGAAATATAGGCTCCCAGACTATGCCCCAACAAAGCCATGTGACCTTGTTCTCCAATATTCTGGATCCTGTTAATCAAAATTCATTAAAGTAAAAAACATATTAGAATCAAATTATATTTACTAGGAAATAAACTGGAGAGTCACAACACTTCACCACTTTATAGTCCAGAAGCAAAAATTCAGGCAAAGTGAGAAAAATATGACACATATAAGATTATTGGTAGTCTAGAAAAATCATCGGATAAAGATTAATTCTCTGTACTAATAGCTTTTTGTCACAATACATCATATTCAGAGAGAAAATATTATTTTATATAATTAAAATGTGTGGCTTGATTTCCCTTCTAAAGAATAACTGCAAACATTAAAAGAAAAGTCAAAGAACTGAGTAGGATAGAGGGCCAAAGATAGTTAATAGGAAAGGAAATAAAATGAGTATTAAAATTACAAAAAGATGCTTCACCTTGCATCTGCAAATTAAAACTAAGCCTGCTAACACCATTTTATGGCCAGGTGTAAGTAAAAAGGGGACTACTCTTAAATACCATTGGTTGGATGATAAACAACCTCCACACAGACTTCCAGGACAAGATGGCTGACTGATCACACCGAAAGTGAGACTCTTTCCAAGAACCGGGAGAAAACCACCAGTGAGAGTGGAATGCAAGCAGTCTGGAGATCAACCCCGTATATAAGTGACCCAAGCTCTGATGTCCAGAGATGGTGGAAGTGGCAGAGGCTAAGAGGAAAGGGAAGAAGCCTTGTCATTCCCCACTGCTGGCCAACTGCTGATCTCACAGTAGACATGAGAGACTTAACTTCCTACCAGGTGTGTACTCCACACACCTGGCTTCCAGACTGCCAATGCACCCAACTTAGTCCTTGGTGGATGGGTGCCCCTGCACAAGAAAACACCAGGCATACATACCGACAAGGGTCCTGGCCAGTAAACTCCCCTGCAGCCTACCATCCCGCTCCCTTGAACCTTCCAGGGACAATACCCTAATTAGACCATCCCAGGCCTTCAAGAACAATAACCTGCCCTTTAAGAAGGCTTTTGCTTCCCTTCCCCACTTGGTCACCTAGGAAGGTATCAGATACCTGGCCCCTCTTCCCCATCATCATCTGAAAAGAGCAACATTCCCTCCCTCCTCTCCCCCCAGCCACCTAAACTCTATTCCTTTAAGACAGTCAGTTACAATTAGCCTCACTCTGTAAGAATTCTTGTCTCTTAACTCTCTCAGCTACTTGTCCCAAACCCCTAGCCTATAGCCCATCCCCACCTGCCATTTTAAATACCCGAAAGGGCAGATTGCAATCCTGATCTCTCCCTGGACAGAATTTAGAGGCCCAGCTCTTTTTGCTTGTTTTTTTTTTTTCTTTCTTTTTCCCTCTCCTTCTTTAAAGCAAAGTCTTATACTATTTCTTTTTTTGAAAATCTTTTTATTGGGAGCTCATACAACTCTTATCACAATCCATACATCCATACATCGTGTCAAGCACATTTGTACATTTATTGCCCTCATCATTCTCAAAACATTTGCTTTCTACTTGAACCCTTGGTATCAGCTCGTTTTTTCCCCCTTCCTCCCTGCCCTCCCTCATGAACCCTTGATAATTTGTAAATTATTATTATTTGTCACATCTTACACTGTCTGACGTCTCCCTTCACCCACTTTTCTGTTGCCAATCCCCCCAGGCAGGGGGTTATATGTAGATCCTTGTAATTGGTTTCCCCTTTCTACCCCACCTTCCCGGTATCACCACTCTCACCACTGGTCCTAAAGGGTTTATCTGTCCTGGATTCCCTGTGTTTCCAGCTCTTATCTGTACCAGGGTACATCCTCTGGTCTAGCTGGATTTGTAAGGTAGAACTGGAATTATGACAGTTGGGGGAGGAGGCATTTAAGAACTAGAGGAAAGTTGTATGTTTTATCGTTGCTACACTGCACCCTGACTGGCTTGTCTCAAGTCTTAAACTATTTTTATAATTTCTCCTTAATCAAGACTCTTCCATCTGTTGGACTTCTTAAAAAAATATTTTTCTTCACCATGTTCTAGAACCCTCAAATTAGCAATCCCTCATCTCTCAGCTAAAATTTCATTTAGACCACCCTAGATCACCTCAGGTGATACAGAGCTATAGCCTGCTCCCTGGGACCACTTATCCTCTCCCTCCTTCCTCACACTGTCATCCCAATAAACACTGCATAACCCTTCTAGCCACTCCCTGTCCCTACTCAGAGGCATCTGCCTCTTGGAAGGTGTGAGCCCCACCTCATCCACACCCGCTGACTCACTCTAAGAAACTTCCTCATGACCTGTCATAACCGTCAACCCCCTCATCTCCAGGCCACTGCAGAGCATAAACATATACCAGTACTCAACCAGGTAGGATTACCCATCCACAAACACTGTTTATAACTACGCAACTGATCCTTGCTCTTTGATTTCCAACACAGGTTCTGAATCCACCTAGGCTCCCCACCTTTCTGCAGGAAACACACCTTTTTCTCAGCCACATCAGCTCAAACTAATAAATACTAATAGTTCTTCTTTTCCTTGTTAAAATTTTTTTTAATTAAAAAAGGGGTTCTCTTTATTTTTTTCTTCTCTTCAGTCCTTCTGTTTCCTTCTCTTTGCATTAAAAACAAGTATGGGAAGGGAGACGTCAGACAGTGCAAGATATGACAAAATAATAATTTATGAATTATCAAGGGTTCATGAGGGAGTGGGGAGCAGAGATGGAGGGGAAAAAATGAGGAGCTGATGCCAGGGGCTTAAGTAGAAAGCAAATGTTTTGAGAATGATGATGGCAAAAAATGTACAAATGTGCTTGACACAATGGCTGTATGTATGGATTGTGATAAGCATAGTATCAGCCCCCAACAAAATGATTAAAAAAAATTATGTATGGCTAAAGAGTTGTGTTAAGGGGTCAAGCTGACAAGGAGTGGTCTGTGATTCAGAGGTCCTCAAACTTTTTAAAC